ACCTTTCAAATCCAGTTTCTAGATCTTTCTTCGACGAAACGAAAATGAGGGAGTGTATCTCGATCCACATTGGTCAAGCTGGTATTCAGGTCGGAAATGCTTGTTGGGAGCTTTACTGCCTTGAACATGGCATTCAGGTCCGTCTCTTCCTCTCTCTCTTCCGTATAGATCTGTGATCTTTTTGCTTGATTTATCGAAGTTTGTTTGATCAGATCTGAGATATTTTGTGTTGCTATTCTCTGTTGAATCCGTAGATCTATAACGTAAACCTGTGTACATCTGTGTTTGATCTCAATGTCTTGTGAATGTTGATGTGGTTGATTCGAAATCCGTTTCTTATCTCAAAAATACTCGATGATCGAGATCGCTTGTAGATTTGTTTACAACTAATACCTGTTTAGATCTGTATTTGATTTCGTTGTCTTGTTATATTGCTATGGTTGATGCGAGATGATCTATGGATTCTGTTCATATTGGGCTTCTATGTCGTTATATCTATGGATCCTCTTTATACTGTGTATTCTTTGTGTTGATGTTGTGTTTTTGGATGTGGAATTGTACAGCCTGATGGTCAGATGCCGAGTGACAAGACTGTTGGAGGAGGTGATGATGCATTCAACACCTTCTTCAGTGAAACCGGTGCAGGGAAACACGTCCCGCGTGCTGTCTTTGTAGATCTCGAGCCAACTGTGATCGATGAGGTCAGAACCGGTACTTACCGTCAGCTTTTCCACCCTGAACAACTCATCAGTGGTAAAGAAGACGCAGCTAACAACTTCGCCCGTGGACATTACACCATTGGGAAAGAGATTGTTGATCTGTGTTTGGACCGTATCAGAAAGCTCGCTGATAACTGTACTGGTCTTCAAGGATTCCTTGTCTTTAACGCTGTTGGTGGAGGCACTGGATCTGGTCTTGGTTCTCTTCTCCTTGAGAGACTTTCTGTTGATTACGGGAAAAAGTCCAAGCTTGGTTTCACTGTTTACCCATCTCCACAAGTCTCTACTTCTGTTGTTGAGCCTTACAACAGTGTCCTCTCCACTCACTCTCTCTTGGAGCACACTGACGTCTCTATCCTTCTCGATAACGAAGCTATCTACGATATCTGCAGACGTTCCCTAAGCATTGAGAGGCCAACTTACACCAACCTCAACCGTCTCGTCTCTCAGGTATAAAGCCAGCCACAAACTTATCCATCTAAACACTAATCTTGTTTGATTTTCGGTTTCTAATGTTTTACTTGTATGTTGATTTCATTTCAGGTTATCTCTTCATTGACTGCTTCTCTGAGGTTCGATGGTGCTTTGAACGTGGATGTCACTGAATTCCAGACCAACTTGGTCCCATACCCAAGAATCCACTTCATGCTTTCCTCCTACGCACCAGTCATCTCTGCAGAGAAAGCCTTCCACGAGCAACTCTCAGTTGCTGAGATCACTAACAGTGCTTTCGAGCCAGCTTCTATGATGGCTAAGTGTGACCCGCGTCACGGGAAATACATGGCTTGCTGTTTGATGTACCGTGGTGATGTCGTCCCTAAAGACGTTAACGCAGCTGTTGGTACCATCAAGACTAAGCGTACGATCCAGTTTGTTGACTGGTGTCCTACTGGATTCAAGTGCGGTATCAATTACCAGCCACCAACTGTTGTCCCGGGAGGTGATCTTGCTAAAGTGCAGAGAGCTGTTTGTATGATCTCGAACTCAACAAGTGTCGCTGAGGTCTTCTCGAGGATCGATCACAAGTTCGATCTTATGTACGCGAAACGTGCTTTCGTTCACTGGTATGTTGGTGAGGGTATGGAGGAAGGAGAATTCTCGGAAGCTCGTGAGGATCTTGCAGCTTTGGAGAAG